AAGTTCAAAAGTTTGCGATGCTATTAAGTTTCAATATGTAACTTCATTTTAAATAATCTATGTTCAAAATCTGATTGCTTAACTTGTTTATACCTGTTTTATTAATTTTGAAAACACTAAACATTTACATTCAATTGCTTAATCTCAAACCCACCAAATACTTGTTCTTAAATAGCGAACTATTATCAATCAGCAACAACGTAGAACTTCGTACGTACGTACATCATTTCAAGTTGCCATACCACATTAGCATAGAGATATAATTCTCGATTGAAATCCTATAGTGGTAGAACTAGTAAGAGTATAAGCAGTAATCGGAAAGATTAGGGTTTGAAGATGTTATTAAAGAGTATAATCCAGTGACATAAATTTGGAAAGGGAGAAAAAGGGACACGGAGAATTCAGAAGATTAGAATTTGAGAGAACACAAAGAGTAGATTCACCTGCACCACTGCAAATGATTTTAAGCCATGTCATTCAAGGTTTCGAATCATCGGTTGCTATCGTCTCGTGGATCCCAACCAGGTGGTCTACACCTACCAACATGGCTCAGTACACTTGTCAATGACTTCATGGATTTGGGTCATGTTTTGGTCTAGCCTCCTTCCAGTCCTACTCTTGCACCATAAAACATCGCTCGTCGAGGTAGTCGGTGGTTGTGTATACATAACACATATCCCAGCCATCTCAACTGATGAAGTGAACTGTTATATCTAACCAACTATTTATTCTTCACTTCAAATCTAATTTTACATCTGAGTTTCTAACTGGTTACTATTCATAAGAAATACGAAAGAACATTGTTGAGTTGACCAGCCATCATTTATTAGACACTAGTTTTATTATTAACTTTAAATGTATGTATAAAGCAATGAATCAACTAATTGGAAATAAATACTTCTTTCTAGGAATTGTGTTTTACCAATATAAGGAAATGAGTTAACTTTCCCCTCCTTCGAAACCATTAGAATTACTACTACTGTGGTGTGAACTACTTATATTAATATAAGTAGTACATGTCGCGAGTTAAAACGTAATATCTGGCAGCAGATGGTGATGTGAAGATCAAGAAAGGAAGAGCGAGAGCACAATGGAATTTGTAAGAAAACGCATGTACAATGGAACGGGAGACAATGGATTAGTGTTTGCAACGGAAACAGTCCAGTTTGATATGATGCATTGATATTTTGCAAATTAACGATTGACTTTATGGTATTCAGATTTTATTGAGATAGTCTGTAATTTTTGTGCTAAATACATTCGATTGTCCCCATCCGCGTTCTTGTTCACTACACCACTACTACTACTCTTGTTCAACTCTTTCTCTCTTCACAATCCTTAAGTCATTCATAGATATAGAAAAGTTAGAATTAAAAAAAGAAGAATACATATATATATATATATTCTGACTAAAATAATGCAATTTAATAATGATACAATAAATTAGAAATGTGCAAATTTAAAGTATTATACACTTCAATAGTTTTCATTAAATTACACTAATCGTGGTAGTAGTTGGTGGTCATTATTAATGTGTATGTGTTATTCATGAATATTCTACAAAAAATTCAGTCATAATGATGATATAAAAATAACAAAATTGTTTTTAGCCATGTATGAAAAAAATCACCATCATAATGGTGAATCAATTACAGCTTTCACACAGACAAATAGATATGTGCATATACAATTTCTCTGTATTTTAAAATAGAAAAAAAAAATAGCAAGACATGAAAAGTTTGTTTTTTGGAGTATATTTTACTGCACATATAAATGGGGGAAACCAAAATTCCTGTACAAATCCAATTGTTATTACATACCTATTAAGGAGCATACAATTTTATATTGGTTACAAATACATATAAGACGTAAAATGGAATATCATCATTCAGTAATGAATGCTACTTTTTGTTGTTGTTGTTGTTGTATATATCTCTATATATCAATAAATCATCATCATTATTATCATCAAGCAATGATAATTATCAGGGAAAAGATAAAGAACAAATATTAATTCATATACACGATGAAATGCCATACACATAATAGGAAAATGTTGTCATCCATAAAATAGGTGAGTATGAAAAAAAGGGAAACAAATACAAAGGGAGAGAGAGAGAGAAAGAGAGGAGAAAAACCATCTGATTTTTTTATGTGGAATTATAAAAGAAAAACAAATTGATGGTTGTCCTGATCGATACAAAAGTTGAGGGGTGGAAACTAAAAAGTTTAAAAAGAACATAATCTATAGTATAAAATTAGAGCATGTTTAACAATATAAACATTATTACAACAGAGCGTGATCATCGAGAAAGTAGACCTAATTTTTCAGCGATCTTACGAAGAATTATAGTAGTTCTATATTCCTTGCATTGTATACTTCAGTGTGGCCCACAAACTATTATTATGTGTTTTTATTTTCCTTAAGTTATTTTAAAGATTTATTATTTCAGTACCATAAATGGCGTGGTTATATACGCACATAGTGATTTACTATACATGTTTCTATGTGGTCAGAAATGTACTATACATTACTATATACGTTTTTAATTACATAGATCCTGCACAATAGAGAATTAATTTGATTCTTAACTTTGTCACCTGATTATACACAGGGTTGGAAGGAGCTCAAGGACCAAAAGACATGAAGGTCTCCGTCTCTGTATATTAGTTAGTCACAATGTTGTAAATGATAAGCTAAATCATTGGTCTAACAGCAAAAATAATTGTCTACCCGTTATAAAGCGTAAATTATCTACACAGAGACAGAACAAAGAAGGGATTTGTTTATTTTTTCGATAATATAACAAATGTCTGCACTAGTCAAAGGTGTGAACTTAAGAAAATCTAAGTAGTCCTAGCACTCCACAAGTTCACACCGCCTAGTAGGTTGAGTACGACCTTGAATATCAATCATCTAACACACAATCCATTAAAAAAAGTGGCACAAGCGAACACTTAACCTCTAGACCACAGTGTCGATGTCTAAGACCGAAATCTTGAGCAACCATTGATCCAACGCCAGCGAGGGATATCTGTTGTGATTCCAAATACCAGTCTCCAAAAATCCTCTATACTCATAACAATCGGGTACTCACTAGTAGGCTTCAAGATATAACTCCTGGAGTTCTAGTGAGAAGTCGTGACCAGTGGATTCTGATCCGTAATGAGTGTGAGACAGATATATATCCACCCCAAACAATGGATGAAAGGTTGTGCAAGATCATGGACCAATCGAAGTTGAACATTAACACCAGTGGATCCCGGCTCAGTGGTCTAAAGATTAAATATGCGCGTACGAACCCAAAGATCCTGGATTCGAGCACCATGTGTGGGATCATGCATGCACACTGCTGTGGAGTCCCATACTAGGACAAAATGGCAGTGTACTTAGATTTTTAATGGTGCTCTAGTTTAGATCGACCGATAATTTCAACTGTGAGAAAACTTTTCTCTAGCGATAAGCCCAAACATATTTTTCTGTAACTCAAATCTTTACGTAACCTTTGCTATTTTAAAATCAATTATCACTTGTAGCCTATTTTTCTGCCCCAAGGTCACAACAAATGGTTACTAAATCAACGAAGTCCTTCCACCCTAATTTCGTCACTTGCATTGCCGACTTCTTCCCAGATTCCATCGTTGAGGAGATTTGTGTGTGTGCCGATTGCTGAGTTATAGAGTTCGAGAAAGATTTCGTCAGTATTGAAATAGTCAGTTATTGTAGGCCAAACCGAAACAAAGTTGTAATTATTTATCGACATTTAACATTTCAAACAAGTAAGCAATATTTATAAAAAGTTTAAATGAAAGATTATTGAAGTTAGAGAAAGACGTTTTATGTATCTTTTATACCAATACTTTGAGGGAGTGATTACGTAGCGATACTACTAGACATTGTACAAGTCATAAAAAGTCTTACTAAAATGTTTTGAATATATGGACATTCTAATATTCAAAGAATTCCACGACTCATGAAAGAATTACTTCAATATTAATTCAGTGTAACTTGGTAGCCAGATATAATTTCGTGTATATTTGACTGAGTTATACTATTAGTTTGATGGTGAATATGTTGGGACCAATGTTCTATAACAGCAACTTAATCGCTAAAGATGTAGTATTTAGAACCATGAATTCACTGTGTTAATAATCACCTGAGCAGTTGTTCAATAAAAGCATTAGTATTAGTAATACTGAATATAGGATTTGCCTACCTCCTGTGCAAAGATATGAGACATAACTGCTTACAATATAATGTGAAAGGGTTGATCGTGTTTTGTTGAAGAAAATTAACTAGAAGACTATTAGGTTATATGATGATTTCTATGGTATAAGAAATTTATCTAGACTTAATAAGTTACGTAAGTATTGTATTTTCTAATAGAAACATTAGTTAAATGAAAAACTTGGAAATTAACGGTTCATATAACAATACAAATTTACAAAACCATTAACTTGATAGTCCAAAGTGTACAAGGACAGTGGATGGGTGGGGACTTACTGGTTGATCTGGTTCTTTTAATGGACAGCATCAATTAAACAATTTCCTACTTCAGTACTATTTTTATGCTCATTATATTGGTATTAAGTTGAATTTATCTTTATAAATTTACCAAGTTTTAAATCTTCGAGCAAAATGTGTTAAGTTTTATGAACCAGCACGGATTACATAGTATTAAATGATATAAACTATTTCCCTTATAATTGGCAGTGAATCTAATCGAGGAATAGATAAACAGAGATGAAATCCTATTCATCAAGGTAGCAAGTGTTAACACATCATTGAATGTGCACTCATCAAGACCATATATACATCTGGATTTTCATGCTAGTACTGATGAAAAAGAAACACTATGTGATATAAACATCTTTATTTCTAAACTACATGGCCTTACAATTAAAAAACGGTTAGATTTTAGCAAAATTCTTTTGTTTGAAATAATTCATAGTTGAATTCATGAGTCAACTGAAGTTAGACCACCATGGAAAACCTGGAAGCACTGGACGGCCGTTTCGTCCTATCACGGGAAGCCTCAGCAGTGAGCATTTACGACCCCGCTTCGCGAGATTCAAACGCAGGACCTGTTAGTTTCGCGCGTGGACGCTTAACCTCTACATCACTGCTGAGGAGCCCCATAATAAAATTAAACGATTGTTAAGTGCTTCCGGGTTTTTCATGATGGTCTAACTTCAATTGACTCATGAATTCAACTATAAAATTACTAAAAATCTCCACAAAACCCCTTTCTGAAATCATCTATCAAAAAAATTATAGAGATCGTTAGTTTATATAGAAAAAATAATTGAATCAGAATACTTAAATAAATTTGTTTGTCAACTTACCAATTACATACATTACGTTAAACGTTGTTTTTTAACTGAAGGTTCCATATTACATAAATCATCATTTAAATTAATTGATTCTGGAATAAAATTATTAGAATTTGTATGATTCATATTTATAATATTGTTATTATTCTTATGATGATGATGATCATCATCATTATTATTATTATTATTATCAAGACCGTATAATTCAACTACACGTGAAGCAGCTTCAGCTGCTGCACCAGCTGGTCCAGTACAATTGAAAGCACCAGGAAAATCACTTCCAACGGCTACATCAACTTTTGGTACATAAATTATTGAATTCATTGATCTAGCAGCAGCAGCTTGTCGTGCTGCTCTATCACTTGGACTCATTAATGCATCACCAAACATTGTACTAATACGACCACGTGGTTTCAATTCAAGATACTAAAAGAATTTGATGAAAAAAGCAAAAAAAAGAAATAGAAACTAAGTGACGATAAAAGGAAGAAGTGTTGATAAACAAATCCTTGTATATAATTATCGGCTTCAATTGAGTTGGTGGATAACGGAATTAAATAAGTCAAATCCGATACCGGATTTCTGAATACGTATATTTCGTACACTCATTAACCTGGAGAGACAATCAGGGGAACGTAATGAGAAAAGATGACGAGCAGTGGAGAAAGCGAGTGAGCCGACTCGATTTAGCCAAGTGTGAATCGATATTTATAGTGGAACAAAAGTTACAGACATGTGATGAGTAGGATAGGATGTACACACACACACATACGCTCATATAAAAACAGTCACGGTTGATAAGTGAATAATTACCAAGGTTAAAATGTGACTCAAGAAGAATGAATAAATTGTCTGGATACTAGAATAACCCAAGAAACAGATAATATTAACAGATCAAGAAAATAAACCTTTGATATTTGGATTTTCTGGAATGTATAGTTTTATACCATGGAGTTCATGTACTAATGTTTGAGAAGTATCAACAATTAAAAATAAATCAACATAAATTTAACCAAGTAAATGTGAAAAAAATATATAGGAAAGAATAAATTCTACACATAACACTTAAGGCGTTTTTGTATTCTGATGACTATGAATTTTGAATGGATTGAACTACACATCAACGAATTTTAACCTTATTCAATCCAATTTACTCATTTCTGTGAAGATTTTGAGAAGATATAGTAGAGATTTATTTTTAAAAAAAACGAACTAATACCAACCCATTACGTCATATTTACAATCACACAAGTTGACTATAACTATGATTAAAAGCAATATATTGACTTATTAATCAATTTCTTTCAGCCTTGAGTATTTATATAGCTATGACCAGTGGTGTTCAGTACGTATCGGGTGAGACAATTATCCACTGCAGACAATGGATGACGGTCACACGATACCGTGAATTGATTGGATTTAAAGATTAGGCATTCGCGTGCAAAAACGAAGGTCCTAGGTTAGATTTCCGCATAGACTCATCCATTTGCACTGCTGAGGAGACGGCTGTCAAATGTTTCCACGTTTCGAGTGTTGGTCTAGCTAAAATAAGATAGTAATTGAAACAATGAAAACCTAAACAGAAGTTATAGGGTTTATCATCATACTTCATTCTTCGGTTTCATGAATTTGCTTTGACAAAACACAAGCCGACATAAAAATATTTGCCGATATATATAACCAGACACAACTCAACAGCTCTAAAATGCAAATAATCACTTTACAAGTGAATGCAATATATTGTTTTATACTATTATTTCACTTAAGGACTGAACCGAAATACACTTACATTTCCTTCTTCATCACGATGTTTCTCATGAAATTTCAAATGAACATTTAGATTTGATTTTTTGTTAAAACGCTTTCTGCATATATGACATTCAAATGGTTGTTCACCACGATGTATTCGAAGATGTTCATTGTAATAGGCAGCTTTAGTAAATCGTTTATTGCAATATTCACATTCAAAACGTGCTTCTTTATGTATTAACATATGCATGCCAATTTGTGTAACAATCTATAAAAGATTAAAAAAAATAGATTTGTTCTGTGAAAGAATGGTTAATCTATATGAACGAAATAACCAAGATAAAACATTTCTCTATTTATCTAGAATTCTCATCGGTCAAACTTTAAGGAATTTTTTAAAGACAAATTATCACTTAATTACATAAAATTAACTTAGAATTTGATGATGTTGTTCAAAAAGAAAACGAATGCTTCGTTAGTAAACCATTAATCATGTATGAAGTACAAATCTTCACCATCATTTTAAAATCGTACAAGCATACGATACATGTTTCTGTCAATCATGATTACTTTTTAAAAAGCCTAATCATAATGATACACTGATCATTGTATTTATACTATATGTAAGAAAAGAATAACGTTCTAGTTAGTGTTTATGGGTACCGAGGAATAAATAATTTAAACACTGATTTGTACATTTAGATTGATAATATCAAACTTTTTGATTCCATGTAATGAATCAACTTATTTTGATAAAACCTGTAAAATAGTAAGTTAAGTAATTTGATACCGTCATAATAATAATAATAACAACTATTATTATTATTTGGACACATAAATATTGGTACAAGAGGGCACCAAATATATATGCACCACACAAAACAATGAGAATTCAAAGAGAAAAAAAGAAGGTAAGGAGAGTAAAAGAAAAAAAAAAAGAACGACATGATTAGTGTCAGGTAATGTAATACGATCAATAATAATAATAATAATAATAATAATAATAATAATAATAATAATAATAATAATAATAATAATAATAATAATAACAATAATAATAATGGGGGAAACGGAAAAGTACAATCAGAAGAATTCTTTCAGTTAAGGGAGAAACAACCATTTTTTATGAAGAAAGTAAAAGAAGGTTACAGCAGGATCGCCACTGGCTTCTATTCAGAGCCACATCTGATAACGCCTCTGGTCACTGTGTTGCACCATCTCTCGGACCCCAGCCAGAGAGTCGTGAAGCACCAACACAAGTCAGCCCTTTGCAGCTTTCTTTCATGCCACGACACCATGTCATGCACTGACCACCTCTCCGCTTCTTCCAACCAGTCCCAGAGTCGGCAAATAATGCACGACGTGGAATTCTCTGGGATGACATTCGGAGAACATGTCCAAGCCACCGAAGTCGGTGTTTCAAGATGGTGACGTCGGTTGAATTATCATCTCTGCGCCCAAACACACGATGCCGAACCTCTGCATTACTGACATGGTGTTGCCACTGAATGTCAGCAATCCTTCGGAGACAGCGATGATCGAACACAGAGAGTCGTCTAACATCCTCAACTCGGAGAGACCAGGTTTCACAAGCATAGAGCAAAACTGCTCTCACCGACGCGTTATAGATCCGACCTTTTACTACAGCCAGACTAACATCACGGAGGTGCCAAAGATGTCCCAGATTGGAATAAGCCAATCTGGCTTTCACTATTCGTGCATTGATCTCATCACTCACATCTCCACCAGCACTTATGAAGCTAACCAGATACACGAACTTCTCGACTACTTCTATCTGCTCACCATCCAGAGTGAGTACAGGGTTAGAATCCTGCCAGTCTTCTAGAAGTACTTTGCACTTCGAAGGTGCAAAGCACATACTGTACCTACGGACACTGATTGCCAACTGATTAAGTGCGGATTGCATGGCTTGAGCATTATCGCACAGTAAGATAATATCATCTGCCCATCGTCCAAGACGTCGATGGATGTTGGTGATTGGCATCCCGTCATCCTCGCAGATTGTTTCGCTCACACCAGATTTCTTGCTGCCAGTGGCTCGGATGAGTTGGAAGGGCTTCCAGTAGTTATCAGATGCAGCTGCTGCTTCCAGCTCAGCATGCACAGACCGCCAAGCCTCCCCCACCTTCCGCAAGCCTTGCTCAATTTCATTACGTATCAGTCGTCGTTCGTGGTCAATGAGTTGTAAGGAACCAGAAGTAACCCAGTGTTTATAAGCGGGACGTTTCGCGAAGCCGCAAGCGGCTTAGCTCGCCATTTTCATGGCATCATGCAATTGCAACCAATGCTCATCTATACTTTTCGGTGGAATGGTAGCTAGCCTAGAAACTAGCTCGGTTTGATACCTACTAGCAACAGAAGTTGCAACCAGCTTGCTAACATCAATCCGTTGGTGGCGGTCACTTCGTTGTCCACTGAAAAGTAAGGTAAGATTGGCGCAGACCAAGGCATGGTCAGAGTCCAGATAGGTACTCCAAAAGGAGCGGCAGTCTTGTACACAACCACGCCAGCGGTAGCTGATCGCGATGTGATCAATCTGAGTCCAGGCTTGGGATGCAGAGGGAGGACGCCAGGTGGCATATCGGCGATGACTGTGCCGAAAGTTAGTGCTAGCCAGAAACAGGTTGTGGTCTGTGCACAGTTGCAGTAGACGGTCCCCGTTATCTGACCTGCGACCAACGAGTCCCCATCGGCCACCTAAACGACTCTCTTCTGTGCCTAGACGCCCGACCTGTGCATTCAAGTCTCCGGCCAGTACTACAATATCTGTCGAACGCACTTTCTGGAGAAGAACAGATAACTGGTGGTAAAACTCATCCTTGATTGCATCCGGGCTGCAATCTGTCGAGGCATAGGCGGAGATGATGAAAAGACATCGTTTCTCACGCCGATTTCTTTTCACTTTAATGGAACTTTCTTATCTAACAACACATTACCAACTGTTAATGGCGATCCAATCGATCAATGCTGCTTCGACTCTAGCGCTTGTGCGACACCAACGCCAGCAAGACCAGACGAAGATGCCACAGGGTCCCTGGATAAGCGCACGTAAAACAAGCTTTCTGAAGCGACAGATGGAGAGTGAATTTGTAGTACTTCATCAGAGTCTTGAATACGGGTCAACAAACGTCGATATTAAGACTTTCCATAGACATAGTCAGCCCTATCTGTTATCTGACCTGCATAAGTGTGCGAACATTGAAGGCAGCCAGTTTGTATGGTGCACGTGGTTTCAGAAAAACGGCTTCAGTATTTGTATTTCGTGGTAGCATACGATTCTTAATCAGGCAGTGACTCGAGAACATTTAGATAGAACCGAGTTTTCACCATAGGCGAGCTGCTGTATAAGTCAAAAAATAAGGATACATAAATTGGGAATAAAAGAGAGTGAGTAAATGACGTAGTAAATAATAATAAGTAAATAAATAAACAAACAATAATAATAATGTGATTTGTTTTACTGTAATTCGAAGCGAGAATAAAATTTTCAGTAAATATCGTCATTTTCATTTTATTTGTGTGTGGGCTGTGATACTGCCCGGGTGCCCAGACCGAAGCAGGTGTTATAATGATGATTGAATAGAAACAATAAAGTATAAAGCGCTAGAGTAGATATGAAAAGGATGAATAACAACTGGAAAGGATCGCTCAGGACAGAGTTGGATGGAGTGCTGGTAGGCGGTCTATGCTCCTCCACGAGGAGTAACAGGCGTAAGTAAGCTAAAGCTATAGAGCTTGAGACTGATGAACAAGAATCTTTTGAAAATTATAAATGACTTGACTCAAAAAAGTAATAATCCAAAATGTGATTCAAAATAAACTATTTCATTGTATTACAAACAACCGATTGTTGTTCACTTTTGAGTACTGTCAATTGGCATTTAATAAAAGATGATTAGGGTTTCTTTTTACAAGTGCGTAAATTCTAAGTTTTTATGAGAGACTTCAAAAATTAACACACTTTATTAGTATTTAATATCTTCTATTCATTAGTTGTCTACATAACATGAATCATACATGAAGTTTAATAGATATCACAAACCATTGATCCCCTAAATAATTATTTTTACTGAGTCCCTAATGAAATAAAGCCTATGTTTAATAGTATAATTGGATTTTAAAGCCTAAATATAAGAGAAATAACAATTTTACCTTTCCACATATCTGACATTCGAACTTTTCAGGACCTAGTTGTAAATGTTCTACTCGAATATGACGTTTCATAGCCAATTTGCTCTTGAATGTTGTTTGACAATCAGTACACTGATAAATACGAGTACGAAAGTGTTTTTGTCTATGTTGAGCATAACATCTTAGGTTAGCGCATACTTTATGACATATTTCACATTTGACAGCTCCACTGTGCATTTCCTTTACATGACGTCGAAGTTCTGTTTCTAGACGGAAACGTCGTTGACACATGAAGCATTCATGAGCTAGTTCCTAGAAAAATGTTCAATATTTTATGCAATTTATTTCCATGACACTATTTGGTAAAAATCAAAATAGTTAGAAATACAAATAACGAACAAAGAGAATTGTTTCTGTTGAAAAGCAATATTATCTGTTAGGTCAAAAATAGTCGAATATAATTATCATCATTATTCGAACGTACAACCTTTGTAAACACTAGCTTCCAATATTGCAGTGAATCATATTTCAAAAAGAAAGGATTTAATGTTATGTTCAGATATCTGAATGACATCCTTAAACGTGACTTTGGTGAGTATTTTTTCTCACTATCAATTACTTGGGTTAGCAATTACTTAATTCACGACTGGATCTTAGTTAGATAACCAGTGAAAACCAGGGAGCACTAGACAACTATTCTGTCCTAATTTTGGACTACTGAGACGTGTGTACTCACGACCTCAAAGAGAGTCGAACACAAGGTATGGCAGTGAGAACTTAACTCTCAGACCGCTGAACTAAGTACCATTTTAGGACGAAACAGCTATCCAGTGCATCCTGACTTTTAGCGGTTATCTAACTGGTATCAATATTATATAAACTACGAAATTTAACAATCACAATAACATTATAAGTTTGAAAACTGATAGACGACCTGGAAATACTTGACATTAGACGCAGATAACCAAGTAATTGTTCGCCTCACGTTTATGGACCATGCTTGAATATACTAAGATAGTGGGTACTTAAAGTCGAACTGGCAAGGTGGTAACGTCATGGGTGAAATAAATGATTTTAAGCTACTAGTAGCTTACAGGTTCGACACCCATCTCACAAAGACAGATATTAATATGCATAACCTTGCAGTACTATAATAATTGATTAAAAATAAAATGACGGTAAAAAAAAACAGGACGGGAATAATTAATGAACCGTAAAATTTCCGAAACATAAAGGCAGATAGAGACTAATCCAACATTGTACATCGTCTGATTGCTCTACGCAGCATAGAAGAGTTATAATCACTGAAGCGTTTTGCATAATTAGCCACTAATAAGCTTTTTAGAGGAAATACCTGTGCTTGAGGCAGAAAACGAATAAGGATTGATGGAAATTGACGATACCTTCTAGTCTGAAAGATAATAACTTAAACATGTATATTCATGTTACATAACCCTTTAGAAGTTCTGTTCTAGAAATCTACAAAACTCTCATCAATGATGATCTACACATTAAGAAATGGCATCTTTTATCTGCCAGTAGGCTACATGAATTTATAATATATTAAATACGGAGTATCGAATAAAGCGATTAAAATAATCAACCTGATCTTTGTAGGTTTTTTTATGTTTACAAAACAGAAATGATTTGTTGTTAAACTAAGAATGAATAGCATTTTGTTGCTTACTGATAGCTGACATATGGTGTAAGGTTTACATGACTATTCTGCTTATATACATCAGTGTATGAATCGTGACATGGAAATTAACATCACGTAGAAAAGATTGCTAGAAAGATACAATAAATCTACATCTGTCAGTGAGAGTACTTCACCAGCCAGGAAATAAAGTTCAAATAACACTTTGTCTACTTGACTGAATAAGAATAAACTGTTTTATAAGAATGAAAAAAGTAATTTCTTCATTTGAAACAAGTTTCATTTTCTTCCTCAATATTAAGACATTGAAGACAGTAAGGGATGTATTGTTAGTGATAAACGAAAATGTCAATTGGTTTAATAAAATGTGAAAGTGACCTTACCTGATTATGCATACGGAAGATATGATATCTTAACGACGATCGTTTAGGATAAATCAAGCCACAGTATTCGCAAGTTGCTGGCCCTTGATCATCCCCATGATGACAACGCATATGATGAAGGAGAGAAGGTCTTAACCGAAATGCCCGTCCACATTCCATGCATCTGTGTGAATAACCTTCATTATGTTTATCCATATGAGCACGCCATACTCTTTTATCAGTGAATCTCTCGTAACAGTGGATACATTCATATATAGACGGGCAAGGATCATCATGTACTTCACGAGAATGTCTTAACAAACCTTTATTGAAACCCCAAAATTCACAATGTGTACAACGAAATATTGTCTGAACACCGGCATTGGCAAATTCTCCGGTGGGAAAATGTATTTCACCAAGATGAGCAGAAAGATCCTCTGGAGTTTCAAAAACATCAGCGCAAATACGACAAATATCCTCAAGAGTGGTATTGATATTGTGTTTTTCACTCAGATGTTGTACGTAATCTTTTCCACTGCAACGAACAACAAATCCGCATAGTTTACATTTCATTTTACGAATACCGAGAGAAGAAAGATCTTCTTTATCGACACGTTGTCGAAGATGTCGTGTTTGGGTGAGCATATGAAGCATATTTTCCGACACTCCGTCACCTGGATGTACTACTCCGTGTTCTGCCCACTGATGAAAATAATAGTTAAACTTCGTTCCATAAAACTCTGTACAAATGTCACATGTCATCAGTTTATTTGCTGATTTTTTATTTATACCGTCCTTGAGATTTACTTCTTTATCTGGATCACTTTTCAATAGTTCAGCTTCCTCATTCTCAAATTCTTCCAAAGCATTTGGTGCATCTGTTTTTATGTGTGTGTGATAATGATCAGACAATTCTTCCATTGACCGAAGGATGTTATTACACAAAATGCATTGAAGGTGATAAACAGTGAAGTGTCGAAGTATTTTATCACGTGAATTGACTTGGGTTCCACAGATACCACAAACACATGCATCATCTTTGGAGTCTGATGTCACTTCATCAGCATTTGGACCAGAAGCTTCTACAGTTGCATCATCTCCAGACCTGGTGTATGAATCATCTGCCAGGATAGGCTTTGGAACACCACTGCCGATTCGAGATAAAGGAGTACGAAGAGAGAAACTAACACCATCACAAAAGTCTAAATGTTGTGCAAGTACTTCTGCTGATGGGAAATAATCACTACATTTTTCGCATTGTGGAGCTTCCATTCGACCAATTAAAAGATTTGTGTTGAATACGTTTGCAAGTCCAGCGAGTAAACCACTACCTGGGACAGTGTCCTGTTCAACTAGTTCTTCTTCTTCTTCTTCTTGGTCACTTCCCGAATCATTTTGATTAACTGGATTCGGACGTAAAAGAACAGATAAAGGACCTGAACGTGGGCATGCGTGGTGTTCATTCATATGAACTTGCCATGATCGCCGATCAAGGAACGAAACATTATGAACTCCACAACGGAACCTAGAGAGACCTAAATGTCTCATTTCATGATCCAACAAACCGTTTGGTGAACGCAGTTCTTTAGCACATAAACAACAAACACCCCAGTGTTCAGGAAGAGGAACTGGTGATGGCGGAGGAGCATGAGGATTTGCAGCAGCTTCAGCATAAGCTGCAGCCTCTGCTGCCTCAATATGCTGTCTAGCTAAAATCTCTGGCATATATTTTTGTGCCATACGTAAAACAACATCGTACAAACTAACTGAGACAGGCAATTCGAAAAACAGACTGCACAAATGATCGGTGAAACCAGAAACAACACTACATAATTTGGTTTGTTCATAATGAGGATAATAAAATGCTGGTAAAACAGTTGAACTGTTAGTCTCATCATTCACTATCCGAACGTTAGACGGACAAGACTTGTGAGCTGCAGAGATAGACTGTGCACAAAGTGATGGATTTCCTGTATGAGGATATATGGAATCATAGCGAGCGGGAACAATCTCAATAATACGGCGAATAACACGTTGATCGTCGATTTGTAAACCATACAGCAAACCGTTTATAGCAACTAAACGATATTCAGCAGAAGTTGGCTTAAATGATGACTCATATGACTTTAACTCTGAAGGAGTGATTTGATCGAAATTGACAGAAGCAGCTTCACCGTGGGGGTGTAAACCAAGCTTATCATCTGCTACCTGGAGAGTAAGGCGAACAGGTGAATCAAATGCAATCGCAAGTGGAACACGCCTTTGGCGATCGAGTATGACAAATTTTGTACAGTGAATTACAGCTGCAGGACCAGTTGATGTCAATGGAAGAGTTGTAGTGTCTGGTCTCGACGAAGCAACAACAGCTGCAGCAGCAGCAGCTGTACTACTAGAACTGGCCAATTCACGTAGCATAACTTTCCGTAAAGTATCAAATAAAAGATCAGGAACTACTAACAAAGATTTATCTTCAAGTATATCTTCTGGATCAACTGTATGTACACCATCAAGTGCTATAGATAATTCTGGCATAAATCCATGTTTTTCTAGACAAAACTTTGATTCATCAACAACAGAATAAACAAAGAAATTATCATTTTCAACAGCATTTTCAGATGGATGACAACTAACAGGATGCGCAACTAATAGTAAAGTATCTCGACGTCCATTTGGTTTAACAATAAATGCATCTATAAAACGTACTGGTCCAAGTGGAGAAGACTCTTGCTTGTTTCCACGTTTTGCTAGTGAACTATAATCTTTAGGATCAGATTTTAAAACAACCCAATCAATAATGTTATCTAGCACTTCACGAACTTGTTCCTCTCTAGTTTGACGATTTGCTTCTTCTGTACCATGTTGGTCTACTGAAAAAGAAGTTTTGTCCGATAATGAAGTTATGTTAATTAGATCGATAGGAGCTTTTGGTCTGTTATGTGGAATTTCAGTACTATTCCATGTGTCTAAAATTGCTATCCCAATCAACTGACCTTCTTTATTAATACCTAAAACAATTCTTTGTAAATTCGGTGGTTCAAGTGGACTAATATCTATATCAGCTTCCTCGTCTTGTTGATGTACTCTGGCAAGAGCTAATTCATAAATTCGCTCTGGAGGCAATGCAACTAGTTCAGTTAATCTTTGATACAAATCCGATGGAACAATTAATTGATGAATATCTGGCATGTATCTTCCAAGATTACCAGCACCAGTAATAAAATTATACTGGGTATTTGATACACCAAAATCACTTGCGACAGAACTACGAATTGCTAGTAAATTTGTCTCTTGATTAAGAATATAAGCTGGTTTAATAATTAGTTCTTCATCAATATCTTTACTAAGTGTTTCAAGATGTTGACTTATTGGTGTCATATGAGCAACACCAAACAATGGTTGATGAATTATAGGTATTAAATAAACAATACGATGTTGTAATTGATCATATGGACGTGCGACAAATGCATGCAATAGTTCAACTACTTTATCATGATCATTAATACGACTCATGAGACTTTGTAAACTGGCAGATGCACCATAAAATAAATTAGCATGTTGATTACTAGGTTTACAGATTTCCGCTAAAAATTTATCGAAACTAGCATTTAAAACATTTGATTTCAAGAAACTTGAATAAGCATCTAAATCTGCGCGTGTTTTAAGAGCAGCTGCAAGAGCACTATAAATATTCGATCCCCAACTAGTTCCTTTTCCAGAAGCTGTTCTACGCGTTGACCGACTAGCTGACGTTACATTCATACCACGATTGACAGCATTTGTTGGTATCTTTTTCTTTAATGAAGTAACACGTTTATCTGAAATAATGCTTTGTGCATCGAAATCATAAATATCTCTTTGTATATGATTGCTTTCATCTTCAAATAACTGTATTGGCATACCACCATTAACACCAGAATGATCCATTAAAATAGAATCTCCCAGTTCTTCATCATCCTCATCTTCCTCTTCTGATTCGGACTCTCCAGCTTCGTCTTCGTCAGTGGATCCACCTTCTTCCACATCACTACTGACTGTCAACTGGGCCTTTGAACTTCGGCGTGTGCGTGAAGAAACTCCCTTACGAGACTTTGATATTTTTGACAATTTATTAAGAGTTTCTTCATCAGATGGAGCATATTCGCTATCTTCATCCCCAACATCAACGTTTTCATCCGAATCGTGTTCATCATCATCCGCAAGAAACATATCAGAATAAGAATAAGTTTCTTTTGTTGATGCGTTGGATACTTTGGCTTTTGGTGTAGACTTAGCAACTACGGCAGAAGTTGAAGAACGTGTACAACGACCACTACTACGAGTCTTTTCAGGTACGGTTTTGGAACGTTCATTTTTCTTACGTTTTAAAGCAGAAGCATCTGCCGGTTGGGAAGATTCATTACCTTTGGCATGAGACTTCCTTTTAGATGCACGGTCTTTAGATTTTCGACTTCGGCTAGATCTACTATTTGATGCTTTCTGCTTCCGACCATGGGCTGATACTTGATTAGGAGTATTGGATTTTGTATTTCCTCGATCTTCTTGTTTCATTTATTCAGTTTAATTGGACCTAAAAAATTATGGAGTTAGTGAGAAACGGATGGAAAAATTAAAGCACGTTGATAAACAAGTTGCTTACCGATTAAACTGTTCAAACAAAGTACCGACTAAACTGTAACTGTCATTTTAAAAGACAACTTTTACATTTCTGAACCTCTGAGCACAGAACGTTTAAGGGGTGTATACAGTACATATACGTAATGGTTAATGATGTGTTTACAGCTTCTATATATATATTAAACCCAATCGTTTAAAACGCTTTATGCTTATTCTTAATAACTGATTCGATTATTTCGAAGTATTTCGTCAACAGAGTGGTGACTTAATAGCCATTGTTAGACTTTCAACAAATCAGTCGCAGGTGCAAACCCGCTTCACTGTGATTGAGACACTCGAGTGGTATAACTTACCCTCAAAGCCCAGTACAACAATTAGTAACTGATAGATGAGTTTTATCAAGTAGGACATTTGTAAAATAAGTATCCAGTAAATATCTTTAAAGACCTAAATACTGTGCTTTAATATTATAGCTATTCAAATAGCCTTGATACTGACGTCCTAACTATTAAAGCTCAAAGCTACATCAAATTTAAAGACCCACCCCTAATAATAAACACACGACAACCTAGTGCAAAAGTAGATGTCAAATCATTCGGTCAGTCTTACTTAACGTAGAACCTAGCACATACGTACGTCGGTTCAAGTTGCTGCATCTCATTAGCACAGCGAGATGAAACTATCAGATCGAATACCAGTGGTAAATGTAGTAATAGTATCAATGGTCTTAGGAAGTATTATGCATAAAAAATACGATTGCAGAAAGAATATGTATTAGTGGAACGAAACAGTGTAGAAGGTAATCTATAAACCTAACCCTAAACCTAAAGGAATTTATTTAATCTGACCGGCGTTTTTTAGCAAGACACTTATTACGAAGTGGGGTTGCCGAACCCATGCCCAACCCTCCTCCTTTACCCGAAATTGGGACCGGCAGTAACTCTAGGAGAGCTACAGGTGGAGTAAGAAGAGTAACAGCCTAGTATGGAAGAGGACAAACCAGCTTCCAGCTGGAGAGGAAGTTAGGGAAAGACGTTGGAACTGGATAGGACATACATTACGGAAATCACCAAACTGCGTCACAAGGCAAGCTCTTACTTGGAATGCCGAAGGGAAGTAGGAAAGAGGAAGGCTGAAGAACACACTACATCGGGAATTGTAAGCAGACATAAAAGGGATAAAATAGCAACTGGAAAGGATTACCTAGGATGGAGAGTACTGGTGGGCGGCCTATTATCCTCCACGAGGGGTAACGGGTGTAAGTAAACCTAAGGGAAAACGAAGAGTGAATGTAACTGAGACATTGTTAACGATTCTAAACGATATCATCCGGTCTCTCACTATTAGTTACGGTAACCCCACGGATTCAACCAGTTAGTTTGCACCTACTTACGTAGCTATGTATAATGGTCAGTGTCTGAATGGACTAATGCCATGTCTTGGTATGGCCGCCCTTAATTTTATTTCGGCCTACCATCACACCAGTCATTGCGCGTAGAGGTAGTCAGTGGATGGATATACGTAATACATATCCTAAACATCTCAGTCGACATACATTCGCAATCTTGTCAATCGATTTGCCATTTTTGTCTAATATTCTGCGTCCAATTTCACAATTTTTAACTTAATGTGTGTACTAGAGTAATGAGCAACTTTTTCAATTTTTTTGACATATATTGATGCTTTAATGTCACCGAATTTCTTGTTAAGAAATCTATAATCATAGAAGGATGAACTATATGAAGCTAAACACACATCAAAGCAAGTGTTACATTATGGTCAAGCGGTTCATTTATTTCTTATTTCATAATAAAATCACAAGTTTAAATATTCCTCGACTTAACGTGTGAGAAATGAGCAGTACCACTAGGTTTCATAAAAAACCTTCAAAAATGACTGAAAGTTTAGAAAGAAAAACTGATAACTAGGTAGTAAGTTGTTATTAATGAAGCTTAAAAGTAATCACTTTGGTCACTATGATCTACTACAAGACAGATCAATGACTTCATGGTTAACGTAATGCAACTCATGTATTATTTACAGATTTGCACATTCAGATAGGAGGTACTTTGTGAAGGCTAGCAATACTATCTGGCTTTTCAAACTGAAATGGTGTGGTTTCGAGTCGTACTATAGAGTGACCATTACATTACTAGTAAGAGTACGTTTTAAAACTATTACGTCGTACGTTCGAATTTGCCCTAAGTTTTGAACAGTTATTAACCCTCAAACTCAAAATGTCGCTTAGAGATGAATTAATAAATTTTTATAAGATGACTGATTATAAGGTAGAAAATAAGCAACGGGGAAGGGACTAAGATTATTATTATTAAAATTACTAATTGAATTGTAACGCATAAATATGTAAAACAAAAGAAAACACTTTTTGCAAAAAAGATCCTTTTTCAGATACAGAACTGATCAGAAACATAGAAAACTCGGTAGCTTTATCAAATGTTAATTTCTAACCATACTTAAAGATACCACAGTCTAACTAAATGACAGTAAATCAGATTCACTGGGAAAACAGCCTAAATATCACAAATCCTTTTTAAATACGATATCAACTCACTAGAAAATCGGGTCTTTTTACTTGGGATTTCGGTCGCTACTAATATAAAATTTTGGAAAGCATAAAAAGCAACCTATTTACCTGCACTAAAGTAGTGTAAACAATGAAGTCAATTAGTTTCGGTGGAAAAGATAAACATTATGTCCTATTTTTCTAGGCGATCAGAACGAAGTATTATTACCTCCAGGAGAGATTAAATTTTAGTAATCTATAAGAAACAAGTCAATATTCAAGGAATCCACTTACTACTACGCATAGATCCTTAGTACATGACTGAAGTTGGAATTTCACCATTAGCCTTGGCACAGCAAATACGGTGGAACGCTACAGGTAGGTCAGAAATCAGTGTATAAGTATAATCCGGGCAGTCAGTCAGTCAGTCAGTCAGCTACAACGTAGGACCAGGCACATATGTGCATCGGTCCAGGTTGCCATACCTCATTAGCACAATAAGATGAACACCGGATTCATAGGAGTGGTTAGGTCAAAGGTTGCAATAAGGATATAGTATAGGAAGGAAGAATTAGTTCGTAGAAAGAAAGACATGAAGTGATTTAATCTCTTAGTTTAAGGGAAGACAGGGAGTGTATACACCGACGCCATTGTGATCGATTCTGAGCCATGTCACCAAGAGTCTCCAACCATTGGTTACGATAGTCACGCGGACCCCAACCAAGTAGTCTGCATCTACCAACATGGCTCAGACTAGAAGTTAGTGACTTCAAGCACTGATGCCACGTTTTGGTTTGGCCGCCCCTAACTTTCTTCCAACCAACCCCTACACCGGTTAGCATTGCACGTCGTGGTAATCGGTGTTCAGGCATACGTAATACGTGGCCCAACCATCTCAGTCGATAAAGATTCATAACCTCATCAACTGATTTACCATCATTCCCTAATACCCTGCGTCTAACCTCACTATTACTTACCCGGTGATCCCAGCAGATGCCAGCAATATTTCTAAGGCATCTGTGGTCAAATACTTGTAGCTTACGGGTGTCTTCTACTCTTAAAGGCCATGTTTCGCTGCCGTAAAGTAAGACAGAACGGACTGCCGCGCAGTATACTCGTCCTTTTATTGATAGACGGATATCTCGCCTCCGCCAAAGGTGACGTAAGTTGGCAAAAGCCAAACGAGCTTTTCGAATCCGTGCTGAGATTTCGTCAGACACCATGCTCTAGTGCGAGCGCGTATTCGCTTGCGTCTTACTGGACGTAGGAAAGATCCTGCAAGGAAACCTCTTAGGGCTCTACTTAATGATAGTCAAGCTAAGAATATATTTCAGGAACAACTAGGAAAACAGTTAGGCAGCCATGTATGTGATGCCCACCCCGAGGCAGCATGGAACGATATCCGAAAAGCTGTGGAAACAGCAGTGATATCTACTAGTAAGGTAAACCGTAAAGTTAGGGAGCAACACTGGATCTCAGCAGCATCTATCGCACTGATAGATGCTCGAAAACTCATTCCACCTGGCTCTGAACATAATGAAGAGCGGAGTCAGCTTAAGCGCAAGCTGACAAGAAGTCTACGCAATGATCGCGAACAGTGGTGGGTAGCGAAAGCAAGAGAGATGGAGAAGGCAGCGGCAATAGGTAATAGCAGACAATTGTTCAGACTCGTTAAGGAAACCGGAATTAGGAACCCGACCGTTAGCGAAACAATCTCAGAGAAAGATGGATATATCATACACTATCAAACCAGGAGATTGGATCGATGGGCAGAACACTTTAGGGATCAGTTCAACTGGCCTTCAGCCACACTTCGGTTTCCCACGATCTCCAGTCAACCTGAATGGCAAGTTAATGTAGGTCCTCCGTCTCTTTACGAAGCTGAAAAAGCCATAGGAAATCTGAAACGACAGAGAGCAGCAGGCCCTGACAGGCTTACTCCTGAGATTTTTAAGGATGGTGGTCCAGTATTAGCAATGAGATTAACTGAGGTCTTAGGTAGAATTTGGGAACTGGACGTAATCCCATCTGACTGGTCTCAATCACTGATTGTGCCAGTCTATAAGAAAGGACAAAAGTCCTCTTGTGACAATCACAGAGGAATCAGTTTGACTAATATAGTGTCTAAAATATTAGCCTCAATAATACTTCGACGCCTAACTAAAGCTCGTGAAGAGCAGACTAGAGAAAACCAGGCTGGTTTTCGACCTGGACGTGGTTGTATAGATCAGATATTCACACTACGTCAGGTTCTAGAACACAGACACACATTCAGACGCCCCACAATCGTAGTATTTCTCGACCTTAAGGCGGCATTCGACTCTATTGATCGTGAGGTTCTATGGCAGTGTTTGTCACTGAAAGGAGTACCAAAGAAGTACATTAACCTTATAAAGGCTCTCTACTCGAA